CTCAGGGAGGCAGTGAAGGACAGGAAGGCCTGGCGCGATGTGGTTCATGGGGTCACGAAGAGTCGGACATGACTGAACAACACAACCACATTCTCTAGGAGGAGCCAATTCCCTGATTCCCACCATATCTCCCATAGCCCACCATCCTGTGATGTTCCTGCCTGCCACTGATCCCCCCATGCCCCACATTCTCCCCAACCCCTGCCCCTGCCCCAGAGTCAACGGTGCCACCTACCAAGCAACCTACCCTCTCTCTCCCAGGACACTCAGCCCCCTCCTTTGCATGAATCACACCACCCTCTCCCATCCCTCTTCCCATAACATCAAAATTTAAATGAGTAACTGGTTCAAATTTAAAATGAGTTTGATAGATGTCAGACTCAACAGTCTATAAACTAATAAGCAATGTGCTATTGTGTTAAATGTATCATTCATTGTCAAAGTACCTAAAAAATATCAGTTATTTTCATACACTGTTGTCCCCCCAAAGTATTTAGCTTACCTCCATCAGACACAGTGGTAGACTGTAGGGAGGGAGAGAAAAGAGAGAGAGAGATGATCAGCCATAAATGCAAACTGAAAAATTCTAAGATCTCAGGCAGATTCTTTACCCTTCCCTTTGATTCAACATTCAAACATTTAGCCCATTCAGTGTGATTTGATTCTGTCTACTAATGCAAACAAAATGTTCCTCCTGAAAAAAAAGTAAGTTGTGAATTAATACAGTTTATTTAAAAGAGAGGGAGAGAGTGGCCTATATCATCAACCCCTAAGTATATCCTCTGTGTGTGTGTATGTGTGTATGTGTGTATATATGTGTGTGTGTGTGTGTGTATTTGTTTCTAGTGTTTTGATGCCACCACAATGACACATCTCGAGGCAGCTCACAAACCAAACCGTGAACCCCACAAGGCGCCTCCGGCCAACACAGCGGGAAGTGAGGCGGTGGGAAAAGCTGCGTTTTCACCTTGCTTTCTGGAAGGGGGCTAAAGGAGGGAGGGGGCAGCCAGATCTCGGGGGGAGCATATTCCAGGGGTCCAGGCGGCAACAGAGGAGTGCTGCTTTCGGGGCCCTTCGCTTCCCACCTTGAGAGCACCCCCAGTCACGCCTGGCAGAGTCCAGTGGGAAGAGAGAGCCCCACCAGCATCCCCGCCTGCAGGCAAAGTTTGACATGAAAAGGCAAAGCCAAGATTTCTTTTGTTCTTATTTTCACTGGACATTCAGGCATTGTCCAAATCAAAGCACATGCAGCTATTTAAAAAAGGTTCCATGCTTACTCGCCTAACCTTACAGTAAGTACAAGATAGGTATAACTGTGTAAGAATAACTTTTTTAAAGCAGTAGTTTAGATTTTGCATTTACGTAGTACATGCCTTTCTCATATTTCTGTGTGTTGTTTGTGATGCTGAAAAATAAACAGCTGCAAGGAAGAAAAGCAAGCATTCCAAAAAAAACCCACAGTTCTCAACATTGCCGCTGCAGCAGATGCCTTATGAGCTCCATCTCATAGACACAGAACCTGGTCATGGCTGAATTATTTTTGCAAAAGTAATTCCATAATAGAAAATATTTATCTCTTTACAATGCAGAATTTAATCTTTATTTTTGAAGTAACCTGCACACAGCACCTATCAGAAAATTAGTCACTATATTAAAAAAAACTAATAAAAATGTTCAGGTGTTTTGATAGCTTCTGAAAGTACCTTGCTTTCATACTGTTTATTTATTTATTGTCTCTCAGTTGCATTTGTCTGAAAGATTAAAGTCAAGTAACAGTATTTTGTTATCCTTACTTCTCTTTTCCTTGTTATCAACACTGCTTTCAGCAGATGTACAGAGCAAGGCTTTGGAGAAAGAATTATAGAAACGTCTGCAAGAAAACAACCAAGCTCAGAGAACCCCAAGGACTCCACAGTTCAACTGTGAGCTACACATATTCTCTTCTATTCAAAGAATTATAAATTTTTGCAAAGCTGAAGCACCCATTTTGCACCTTAAATTCTCTCCCTGCAATTTTAAACCCAATGAATTTTAAAATTTGGATCCTGACCAGGAAAGTATCAAGGACTATAAATGAGGGACCACATGCCGCTGTGGGGCTCTCATCAGTGTTTTAGAAAAAAGGCACAACATTCCAGATTAGAGAATACCACCAGTTCTGATCGCTAAAATGGAAATCCATTTTCTAAACATCGCTGAAAATGCAATGAGCTGGCCAGATCATTCTTTCATATCTGGCGGCAATGTTGTAAACCCCAACATTGTTGGAATTAATTCAGTAATAAGTAATAGGTAGCACCCCAGTTCAGGCCTATGTGGAGCATGTAAGATGTTAGAGAAATGTCTAGGGACAGGCTGGGAAGGAGGAGCAATTGTGCTATAAAAGGGACGGGAGACTTTGGCTCTGTCACTTTCAATATCTAAATCCCAAATCCTCTGCTTTAGTTCAGCCAAGGCTTTACTAAGTCCCAAAGCAGGTAATGCTGACAAGGTAAGGCCGCAATATGCCAAACTGTCATTGATTTGCCTTCTTAGGTTGGAAGAGAACCTGCCCAGCAAGGCACGATGAACGAAGGAAGTTTCCCAGCAGACCTGCTTCAGCCAGAATCTAAGGTGACACAGTCTTAATCTGGCTCCAAGGGAAACGCAGCCTAATTCTTGTGTTAGGGCACTGGAAGTTGAATAAGGAACTCGTGGTAAGATTTTCAAGAATTTTGATTGGATTGATTCTAAACTAAGGCACTCCTTATAAATACAGAACTGAGCCTCATATAGCATCAAACCCAGAACTTTAGCTTTAAATGGTTTAATAGCTGCTGGGACATAACTGTTACCAAACTGATCTGCAAATTTAGTAATTGCAAGGGATGCTTTTGGGGCTCTTACTAGAAGCTCTCTTGTTTGAGTAGACCAGCAGGTAGAAGACTGAAAATGGTGACCTAGGTTTTTGAAGGATCTTACCTACTCAATGAGTTTGCTATGAATTGCCCATCTAATTGGGGTCTTAAAACATTTCCTAGAGAAACCAGTACTTTTGTTTTGGAGTAATTTATTTCAAGGTGTTCTCTAGGGCAGTAAAGTAAAACAGAGAGTTAAGGCATCTTCGGAGGCCTACTTGGAAGCATAAAGGAGAATAGAGATGGAGCAGTGGACAAGGAGGAAGAATATAATTCTGGCTTAGCAAACATCTCAACAATATTGATAATGTAAAAGTTGATTAGTACTACAGTACGGTGAGGGTACAGCCTATTTTATTGTTGTTTGTTGTTGTTTTTCAAAACGGTGTGACACAGCTCTGAGTCTTCTCATCTCTGACTCCAACATTTTTAAACACATTTTTTTTCTAACTCATTTCTTTAATCTTCAATTTTTAACTCCCAACTTTTATCTTGTTGACCTGTGTGTCTGGCTGTGTCTGGTTTTCTTTTATCTGAGTACCTTTTCTTAATCTTAATGAGGAGGAGGAGGAAGAGGACTTGCTCCAGCTCTGGGGCGAGAAAAGCCCAAGAAAATCCTTGAAGCAGCTAAGAATTGATGATGTGGTCCCTAAATCCAACTGCATGCCAGTAAGTGTTACTGATTTGTTTACTGTAAGTAATCAGTTCAACCCTTTGGCTGACCCATAAGCAAAGACAGTCCTAGAGGCAGAGGCAGATGTTGTGAGCAACCAGAGCAATTTTTTCAGCCTGCCAAAGTTCTCATCATATGAGACCATACTGCAAATTATCTGTCCATCTGTCTGTCATCTAATCTATCCATTCATATGAATGAAAACATTAATTACACACACGCACACAGACAAACTAAGTACACTGACTGCATGTACCTGAGGGTTCACTAATGTCTGACCAAGTTTCCCTCATTTTTCATTCATCATCTATCATTTCTTGCCAGCAGCTGTTTGGATTGAGAAGACATACATGGCCTCTAAACGTAGTGTAAGATAACGAAATAGATATTAAGCATTTGCCCTTGGAGAGGAAAATTACAATTCCCTGAATAGCAGGGGTTCACATGTTAAACTGACAAACCAGGGTAAAGCGTTTCCCTCCTGTTGTTGAACACATAACATCCCAGTGGAAAATGTGCATAGCATCCAAGGCGAGGCTATGCAGACAGAAGCCCCATTTGGTTTTATGTGGCTTCATTCTCATCCAGGGGCACATACAAACATTTTTTCCCAGCAAGAATAAAAGAGCCTAAGAAATAGTCCCACTGTTTTAGCATTCTTTTTTTCAGCAATCTGCTGAAAAAGAATGAAGAATTTTATTACTCCAAGTCACCAGTGATAGTTGGTGTTTGTTTCCTTTAGCCTGATCTTTAAATACTCCACAGTGATCCTTTGAAATATTTCCCTCTATTTAATTCAAAAGATAGTAAAAATTAAAGCAAAGCAAAACTCTGACAATTCAAATTCTGAATGAGCCATAAAGTAATTGAGCCACTGGAAACAAATAAAATCAGCTAAGAAAACACATAGAAAAGAATAAATATTTTAAATTACTTAGAAAACATAAATGTGTAGATCACCATTTAGCATAAGAATACTAGGAAATTATTGTATTGCTGATTTACATAATCAAATCACTAATATAGCAAATCACCCATCTACAGAATAAATAAAAATAATGAGAGAAAAACAACAACAACCCTTTTTCTAAGATACAATGTAGTCTATAAAGGTTCTTAGTACCGTATTCCCTTTTTTAGAAAAGTGAAACATACTTACGTGACTGGCTTTCCAAATTTTATCCATGAACAAACAGACCTCAAGGCCTTATCTCTCATTTAAGTGAAATTCTCGGCCACATTGCTGAGGCATGTTCCCTTCTCCTGGCTCGCAAAACAAATGGGGGTGTGAGGTGTCTGTCCTTCCTTCCTTCCTTCCTTCCTTCCTTCCTTCCTTCCTTCCTTCCTTCCTTCCTTCCTTCCTTCCTTCCTTCCTTCCTTCCTTCCTTCCTTCCTTCCTTCCTTCCTTCCTTCCTTCCTTCCTTCCTTCCTTCCTTCCTTCCTTCCTTCCTTCCCAGTGGGGACCCACCCAGGTTAAACACAGGCTTCTCCACTGCGCTATAAAATGGAGAAGCAGCTCGAACTCAAGGCTTTAAATTCTTGCTGTGACAATCTCTGCATAGCAATGAGCCGTCTACCAAGATAGCATACTAGTGGGTCATCCATATGAAATCTCACCGAGTGGTTTTTAATTCTTTCTTTAGGCAACCAGACTAGCTCCAGATTCAAGCAGTCCTGTAAAAACCTTGTTACCATTTGCTGTTTCTTGGCGTGTAGCTGCATGTTCATCTCAAGATTATAATCACATGCAAGTCTACTTTGTGGCTTGCTCCAATCAACTTGCCTGTTCTTTGCTCCTTTGAGTAAGTTTACAAGATTCTCTTTCCTGGTAGAACAGGATTCCCACAAAAATCAGTACCACACCCACTTATTTTAAATTAGCAGGCTCTGAAATGTTGAAAAGAGTGTCTTCAAGAATGTTCTAATGTAATACAGAACAAATGAAAGTCAGTCACTCTGAAAAACTACATTCTAAACCACAGCTTCCAAGGTTACCTTAGGGAATTACACTCACTCCATTGGGAGCAAGACTCAGAACAATCTGCCATAGTCTCCTGTGAGAAAGACACAATTACTATAAGCTGTGTTTGCTGTTAACAAGGGCAGGATATCATTTGCAGGCCAACTATACATGGACAGAAGCAAGCCAAGATAATTAGAAATTGGTGCAACATTTTTCAAGTTATGCTCTGAAATCTGTTTTTAAATGTGGGAGATGTGTACTTTCAGACTTGCAAGACTGATGTCAGCCTTACCAGGCAGACCAGACAGGAAACACAACCAGATAAGCTAATTCTATTATACTGTAAAACAACATTAACAGAATCTTGCAAGTCTGAAAATACAAGTCTCCTGCCATCTCCTTTACAGCCCAAGAAACTAGGGAGGATCCCTTCTGAGCCTCTTGCCCCGCCCACTATCCAGCTGCGGGCTAAGCTCTCTCTTATCTGACCATTCCCCAGGCAGCGTCTCTTGGCCCAGTCTCCCAGGGTCTTTCCCACATATCACTACACTCCCTTACAGGTGCTGCACAGCTCAGGCCTCTCTCCTCACTGTTTAACATCTACATGAAGTGGTTGGGAGAGATCATCTCCCAGCAGTCAGTTGTTGTGAGAAAATGCTCACCTTAAAGGAAAACCAAAGTATTTGGAGACAGAAGCAACAAAATATACTTTATTGGAAAACTCTTACAGTGATCACTGGGCTACCCACCAGCAGACTGCAGGAGAGAGCCCAGAGTAAGCCCATTCACCAGATTATATTGTATATGTATTGTCATTAGCATTTGAAACAGATAGATAAGAGAAAAATAATGCAACAATGCAGCTTCCTTTCCTCTGTAATACTTTGATAAGCTCTTAGATTGACCTTACTGTTACTTCTCACACCTATAGTATCCTTCCTGATATTATCAACATGTACCTGTGTTTACCTTGCAATCTCCTGTTACCTAATTCCAGGCGGATGGGGCAAGTGTCTGGGCTATGGCAGCTATTTCTGCTCCAGGGCCACAGCTCTAGGCATGAGGTGATACATTTACAGTACTGATACCAAGCTATCTGAGTAGCTATACCTATACAAAGGAAGTGCCCATCGAAGCTTTAATATGCCCTGTGCCACCACCCAACCATCTACAAAGTCTAAATAAATTCCATATATCACTCCATAAGAAAACTTTTGCAGTTATGAATACTAAGTAATGTTAAAAAAAGTAGAATTTAGACTCAAAAATTAGGAAACACGGAAGTATAAAGGCTTTAGATAGAGTATCCAAAGGTACGTTTGTAGCTAACTTTCTGTTACTTTCCCTGCATCAAAATGAATTAACTTATTAATGCTCATTTACCCATCTTCATAGGAAATCATGAAGTCACAGTTACCTCAAGATTATCAAGCGAACGAGTAACGCTGAATCTCTTTGAGCGTCCAAATGATCTTCGAGCTGAAGAAGAGTGCTGGAGTAGTTGTACCAATCCAAAACCAGGTCCAAATTTTGCACTCTAAATAAGCCACAAAATAGATATTTAATTAGGTTTCAATCTTTATTCTTCATGATCGGTATCTATTTATTCTTGTATTTTCTTTTTTATTAAACATTTTAACTACAATAATAAAAGATAATACAAATTAAAACAGAAAAAGGAAGGTGCAAGAAAAGAAAAAAGAAAAAAATAGAGAAAAGAAAAAAATTAACCCTGATCAAATAAACCAATTTTATGTTCTTTCCTTTTGTATAAAAGTCTTGTTTTTTAATTCATTAAAATGATTATTGACCCTTGTCTCGAATTTCTTCAAAACTTTAACAAGACTCTTCTGTAGGTCCAGCAAGAAGAAATTATTCCAATTGCTTTCTGGGATTAGCATTTTTATTTCCTTCTTAATATTTAAAGCCTCTGATTTTTTTTTAATATACCTAATGACAAATTCTTGTTCACGTTGTTCTCCACAATCAGTTGCAAATCTTTTTCTGTAATGGCTTCTTTTGCGAAGAGACTATCCATAAGAACACGCAACACAGCTGACATTTTTGATTCCAGGTCCTGTTGCAATTCCTCAAAAATATCTCTGAACACCATTATAAGTTGCCTATC